TACAGGGACCCTGTACTGCTACAGAGTGCCTAATGGGGGAGGTGAGAGGTAGAGAAGGGTATCTTGGATACCCTTAGGTGAGCCTTTCCCTGTGATTGAGAAAAATACCTCAGCATTCTACCTTTTAGAAATGTTGTGGGTTTTTTCCTTTTTCATAATGAGTTGTATGAGAGTCAGCAGGCAAGGGATCTTCCAAAAGCTGTCACTCTGCAGAATATTTGTCCTCTTGAGTATCCATAGTATACTAGCTGTGGATTCCATTCTTAATTACTGAGTTCTATTATTGTCTTTGTCAAAAGATAGTTCACAAGATAATCACACTATGATTCTTCTTTAAGTTCCATTCATGTTTTGGAAGACATAACTGACCAGATTTCAAGGCTGTTATTAAACCAAGCCAGCAAAAGCTTTCATCGTTTCCTTGGGTTTCAGCATCCCTCCTGTCCCCACCTCAGCTGCCCCATCACAGATGAGATGAGGAGGAACACTTGCCATTCCTTTCTAAATACTCTACCCTTATGTGCAGGGGGAAGAGAATAAACGTCTATTGTAGAGACATTGTGATTAGCATCTGCATGGTACTAACTCACGCCTGAAAAACGTCACACAGGTTTTCCTCTTGCCCAAATCTGAAAGCCAGCTCCTAGCTCTGTCAGCTACCAGCATTCTTTGCCTTGTTGCTTCCTGTCCTGATGATGAAATGAGCTCTTTGATGTTCTTTCAGGTGCTTGTGTGCAGTTTGCTCATCATAATGCTTCCTTTTGCCCTAATTTTTTATCTCATTCCTTTTTAAGACAAAGCCCCTCACCCACCAGAGGCTTACCGAGTATTGATCTCTTGTAATAGTAATATATCTGTGAACAAATCTGGAAGTAAAGTCCTTTGACTGGAGTCGAGCTGGGTGAGGGAAAGTTGAAGAAGTGCCCATTGCCCATCTCAGCTCTGGGTAGGTGGCGGTGGCAGTGCACTACCAAGTGCTGAAGAGAAGGCTCTTGTGGGGGTTCCCGTTCTCCCAAGGGAGGGGGACATCTGGGGACCGAGAATGCGGAGGTTTGAAATCTGATCAAGGGCCTCTGCCTGCATGTACAAGGAATGTCGGCGCGTTCCATTACGGGCCTGGTAGGACCAGGGTGCCACATCCCACCTTCCCCTGAGAGGAAAGGAGAGAGCTCACTGCTGGAATGTGCACCGTTCTTCCTAAACAGTTTCCTCCTTTATTAGTAATGACATTTCTAGCAGATGTTTCACTGGGAAAATCCTTGTACCTAACCTAGGTGTATGAGTCGTGACCTTTGGCCTCGCATTGTTACCTGCCGTTGTTCTTCTCCAGCCCCTGGGCATAACCAATCCACTGCATTCGAGACTTACCGTCAGTAGATGGCTGAGCCTACACAGTCATTTTTAATAAAATGTGTTTTTTTCTTCCAGCATGCTTTTCACTTCCACTGCATCTCTCGCTGGCTCAAAACGCGGCAGGTGTGTCCACTGGACAACAGAGAGTGGGAATTCCAAAAGTAGGTGTCTCTGGCTATTTTGACATTGTAAGACTGGGCTTTGTGCTCAGTGTCGTTCTTCGACTCATCTCGGGTGGACGGTACATAGTCTTAAAAGGTGGAGCCATGGAACGTGCCTTGTTTTATAAACTAGATTTCGGCTAATTTAAGGACTCGTCTGTGTGGAAAAGGCGCAGAGGCGTGGCCGACATTAGACGTGGGAAGCCTAGAGTGTCCCCGTTGTCAGGGGTTTATGAGAGTCAAAAATATGAGAATCTGAAAACTTAAATATTTATTTCCAGAATCACATCTGTAGGGCAGGAGCCACGCTGCTGGAGTCAGGTTGGCATCCCCCGGTGCTGTGGGTGGGGCAGCCTCTGCTTGGTTTGGTTGTGAGATAAACCTGGAGAAGCACAGTTATCCCGTTTAATAATTTTGAGCAAAAAACTACTGTAAATAACTTGTTGTCTTTTGTCAAATAAAGTTGTTTTGGGTTATAAAAAAAAAAAATCACATGTATAGTAAAGCTCCAGGGCGAATATCTTTGCTTTGAGCAGAATCATATCCACCCATCTTATTTCTTTGGTTTATCTCATGCTGATTAATTCTGATACAGAGTCTTTGGCTATCTCAAGTAAAGTGTGATTATGTAAATAAAACCTGGCATGGTAAAATTTTAAAGATTCAGATGGTCAGAAGGGTGTATCATGAAACTGAGTCTCCTGCTTTAGTCTAATCTCATTCCCGGAGGTAGCCATCAGCAAGAGCTGCTTAGTTCTATCTCCATATATGTACCTGTGTGTATATGGTGGGTATGCATGTATAATTTTTTTCTTAACAAAAACGTGAGTGTCTTATGGACTAACTTACCTTGCCTTTTCACTTCATACATTTTGGAGATGTTCCATATCCACACACAACGAACTGCTTCCGTTCTAATGGTTGCAGAGTACGTTTTTATGTAGATGTGCCATGATTTATTCAGTCCCTGTTGATAGTTGGGTTTCCAGTTTTCCACTGATAAAAACAAGGCATCAGGATGAACGTCCTCATATGTGAATCTTTGTGTATGTCCAAGGAGTGTATTACCTGAAGCAGGAATTCTTCAAGGAGAAATGTCTGGGTTAGGAGTACGTACATTTTTATTTTGGGCAGGGTCAGGTGTTCCTTTCCCGAGAAGAGGCACCAATTTGCTCTGCCTCTGAGCAGCGCGGCGGAAGGCCCCTTTGTCCGTCTCCTGCCAGCGCTCCGCTGTCGAGCTTTTCCGTCTTAGCTACTCTGGTAGTCGAAATGAATACTCCGTTACATTTTCTAATTTTTGAGAGAGGTTGGGCTACTTTTCATGTGTTTCATGTCTCAAATTTTTTGGAGGAAGGGAGATTTTTACTTAAATATGAGCTGTGAGTCATAGGATGTAGTTTTAAAAACAAAAAATAGGTTCTCTGTTACATGTTTAGAAATTCCTTATTGGTACAGTTATTTTGTTTTTAGACTTGGTTATTTACTTAGGGGAAGAGTTTTGGAAATCATATCAAATGCATGTTCATTTTTTAAGAAACCTGCCAAACACTCAGTATCTAACTCATACCATCGTGCTCCATTCAGCAAAGTGTATGCTAAGTAATGTGTAAGATTTAAACGTGTATGGTACAGTCTTTCTCTGTCCTTGGGGAGCTCGCCTTCTGAGTGGAATCGTGACAGTGGCACATGTCCAGGCCAAAGCGCTGTTCTGAGTTCTCAAGAGGCCTTTGTGGTTTGCTCTGCCTAGGGCAGCTCGGGTTCCATTTTGGACCAAAATTGTCTCGTGTTGCCCATTACATATGCCCAGGGCTAAGCATAAGTGCGGGGTTGAAGAAGTCCTCGTGTTGGGCTTTGACTTTATCCAGCCAGTGACTGTCCTGCCACTTCAGCCAGTGACTTTGCCAGGCAGTGGTTTTCAGTGCATTGGGAAAGCAAATTCATAAGGAACAAATTATAGCGTTCTTTAATCTGATAGACAACTTCTGGCTTGTTCTCCAGCCCACTAACAAACACTCGAGCCCCACCCTGTGTGGAATTTGGCACAACTTTTTTTAGACAGTATTCAAGTGGATTTCGTAGGAGAAGTGCTTAAAGGATCTAGCAGTCCTTCAGGGTGGTTGAAGCCGGGGTCCGGAGTTCTGGGGCCCTGGTTTTCATCCATATCACAAATTATTTTACATAGGCTAACTGCCCAAAAAGAACCAGCACAAAAGATTAAGTAAGATAATAATGAAGTATTTTGTGTTCAAGAAATCCATTTATACATGGGAGAAATTTTCTGGCCTTGTTTATTTTTATAATTTTATTAGAGCCAAATTTTGGCTTCTGGGAAAATCAAAAAACCATTTGAAATTCATACCTAGTTTTTCTATAGTGCTGAATGTAGTCAGGGCTGTGATTGGAACTGTGATAGATTTTGAAATTGAGGGCTGTCAGCTGCTCTTTTCTGTATTTGCCTTTCCCCAAACTTGCTTGAGTACTGAGCTGAAGTGACAAGGGCTGCCGCAGGTCAGGGAGGCCAAGAGCGTAAACTGTCTGAGCCGCTGGCTGGAGCCAGCAGATGGAGTTCCCTTTCACACCCCCAGCGCTGACTTTTCCCTCTCGCTTCCCTCGTTCTGCTCAGCATCTGCCTGGTAACTGGAGGTGGGTGTGGTTGAGTCCCAGGGAGGCATTGTCACCGGGAAGGGGGTAGTAGATAAGATGTGACAGGATGACAGGGGCAGAGACCAGTGTCATAACCCGATCTTGGAGCACACTCGTGGTCATTTATAGCTTTTCAAAGTTTTAATCAAATTTGTTCATATGTATAAGCAGGTTTTATAGCCTCAAAACAAGAAATTACTAAGGAATTAATAAAATAATTTACTTTGTCTTTCAGGTATGGGCACTAAGAAAAGAATTCTTTCATCAAGCTCAACTGTTTTTGTTATTCATTTAATGACTTACCCTCCTGTTACGTAATTGTAAATTAGATAGAACCGTGTCTTCTCTGCTTTTTCTTTTCAGTTTGCTATTCCTGCAGTCATATTGTATTCTCTGTCAAATAAAATCCAGTTGTGTTCTAGAACAGAAGTTGTCTCTGTGTATGTGAAAAAAAGTCAGCCTAGGGTCCCCTCTTCCTAGGCTGGAAAGCCAGCTTGTGAAAGTGAGACGTTCGTTCATTAGAGCCAGAGCAGAGGTGTTCTCTGAGCACATCACTTGGTCACGAGGAAGCCTGTCCGCAGCTCCATTACTGACAGCAACCTTGGGCACACCGCCTGTGCACCAAACTTTCCTCCTCTGGAAAGTGGCTTCTAAGGACTAAATGACGTCATGTGGCCACAGGAAGAGGCTTTGTGAACTGTAAAAGCACCATACAGACATTACCTTTGTGTATGATGTGTTGCTTTCTCTTCATAGTTTAGAAAAGTAAACTTAAAAAAGATCTCAAATGTAATCTTAGCTGGCAAAAGAATAATTTCTGAACTCAGGTCGATAATTGGTATTACTTAAAATCGAATTAACAAGAGAATTCAAGTTTCCTTCACCACCACTTTTTGAAATGTTTAAAAATGTGTCGGCCATGGAATTGCCAGCGGTAGTGTTAATTCAGTGGCTATCCAGAGTCTTTAACTGGGAAGCAGCATCGTTTACCGCAGTGGTTCTCAAAGTGTGGTCCATGGACCCTGGGGGAACCTGAGACCCTTTCAGGACGTTCATGAAGTTCCTTTTCCAACTGCGTGTCTGGGTCAGGCCAGCTTTTCGTTACACTTCAGTCAAAGCAACGTATTGAGGGAAGCAGACGTGAAAATCCAGCTGTCTTCTATTAAGTCAGATGTGAAAGATTTGCAAAAATGTAAAACAAAGCCACTCATCTCAATTCTTTTTGTTTTGAAAAAGTTACTTTTAATAAAAATATTTACGTCGACGTAATGGGTGTTTTTCTGTTTAAATTTTAAATGTCTCACTTTCGATTTCCATCATGGTAAATATCTATAGATGGAACCCACACAAAAACTCTTTGAGGGCCTCAATTTTTAAGCTCACAAAAGAATCCCAAGACTAAAAAGTTTGAGAACCTCTAGCTTAGAAATCAAGAACTTTGAAGTCCTAATAAACTTAGATCAAACCCAGCTTCCCCACTTAGCTCACTGCACAGTGCCTGGCATGTAGCACTCACTCACGTGGAGGAAGCTACTGCGTCTGTTATTTTGGGGCTTCCACCCGTGGCAGGAATCCCCTCTTAAACCCCTTTCAAGTGGTCATTTAAACTGCATGAATACTTTCAGTAGCGAAAATCACGTTACTTTTCACGCAGATGACAACATTACATACTTAGAGAGTTATGCTTGGGTGTTAGGACTCGGTTGCTGAGTACAAAAGTCCAGCTCCCGTTTAGGTAGAGTTTATTGGAGGTTAGATGGGGTTGTGTAATGAACAGAAGAAAGCTCTAGGGATACAGCTGGGCCTAAGTGACAAACGGAATCACTGCTGGGATTCTTGCTGCCGCTCTTTGACAGAGGCTAACTTACGGCAGGAAAACGATGCTGCCACCTCCTTTCCCACAGCTGCTGCCACGGGAGCGGGTCTAACTCCCAAGCTCTGATTCCAGACATCCCAGCTGGGTCAGGCTCATCACATAGGAAAGGGTGACCGCCTTGAGAACCTCGTAGGTGGAATGTGGGTGATAGTTCCCAGAACAGGAGTGGTGAGGGAGAGACAAAATGAGGCGTCTAAAGATGTGCTGGGAAGATTTTTTTTTTTTACATTGAGCCAGAATGTCTCCCTATAACATACCCAGTTATTCTGTTTCCTCGTGAAACTGGTGGACATAAATCTTCCCCAAGATATTAGTGGAATTATTTGCTGAGTGCCTACTGCGTGCTGTACCTAGAGAACACAGCTGAGTTAGACAGAGTCTCTGCCTGAATAGCTCTCAGTCTATAGGTGATTGTAAGAGAATGAATGAATAACAAGCTAATTCTGGAGAGCTCGATGGCCTGGATCTGGGCTTGATCTCGAAGTGCCCATTCTCTCTTGGTTTCCCGTCTGACAACCCTCTTCTATCTGCCCCTAAAGGTTCTGGTTTCAGTTCTGCTCTGTCCGGGAGACCTCATCCTCACCCCTAGTCAAAACAGTGTGCTGGGCCCTCAGATGGGCCCCTGACAGCCGATTGCGTGCATCTTCCCGGATCCACTTTCAGCAACCTCAACATTGGTAGCTTGAAATTGTGTTTACACCACAGAAATTGAGAAATGCTACAAACCAGAGCATCTTCCCTGCAGGGCCTGTTGTTGGTCATTTACCAGCACACCCCTGCATAGTTCCACCTTCAGGAAAATGGCATCCACTTGTGCCTAGTGTCTACCCCTGGCTGTGTGTCTCAGACTCTTCACACTCAGCAGGTCAAATAGGACTGACCTATGATCATTGTCTCAAAACATACCCCTCCTCTTGGATGACCCAGCCTGGTTAATGGCATTGTCACTCAACCAATTCCTGGAGCCACAGGCATTCACAAGGCATTTTAGATACTACTCTCCTTTGCCTCTGCATCTAATTAATCATTAACCTCTATTCATTTTATGGCCAGGCTCTCACTAAAATCTATAACCTCTCCTCCATTCCCACTGCCACCGACGGAGCCCAGGCCCTCTCCGTTTTTCTCTAAAACGATGTCATTACTCTCCTTGCTACAACCCGAAGTGAGTCTTTGGTCTGAGGCCCCTTTCACTGGTTGAGAAATTCCCCACCTTAATGGAAGCTGAGTTAGTTTCCCATCGTAGACTCTGAATATGCCTAGTCCTGGCTCCTCCAACTTCCTTGTAGCTGGAGCAAGGTGGATGACCTAACCTCCATCAATCAGAGACACTCACGGCACCATCCCATTATGACTGTGGGCAGCAGCACTGGCAGTACCCAAAGCCCAGTGCAGGTGGCAAAATGAGTTATGACATCCGGTGTTTAGCAGCCTCAACAACTAACACCTTCCCAGACTAGTTTTGTGGCATTGTTTTGGCCATGGTCCCAGTTGCTGCCCATTTTCTGAGCCCAATTCTCCAACACCCTTAGTGCTGCTGCAAGCTCTCCAACATCCTTTTAGTATCCGCTCAGCTGTAAAAATCAGCCAGCTCTTTGGAGCCCACTGCCCCGCCCTCTAAACTGGACCCCATGGTCTGCAGAGCCTTACATAGCCTGTGACGTCACAGCGTAACCCCGTTGCTGCCTATCTCTTTCCAGCTTTGCATGAGTCCTTCAGCCCATTGGCAAAGCTGGCCTCAGTTTGGAGATCTTGGTCTGATAACTTTAAATATTTGCATCATCTAACTACCTCTAAAGAACCTGCCCCTGGCTTCCCATTTGACTAAAATAAAATGAAACTTCTCTCCCAGGCCGACTTGTCTCCAGGTGAGTTGGCCCCTGCCTTCCTTCCTGATTCATCTAAGAACATCATTCCCTCTGGTGTTCACAGAGCTCCAATCATCCTGGAGGGAGTCAGCACCTGTCCTTGGCCTTGGCCTGGGACTCCCCCACTTCTCTGCATGGCTAACTTCTTCAAGTCTCAGAATTCACCTTAACTGTCACCACCCCAAGGAGGACTTTCCTGCTGCCCTGTGAAAATAGCTGCCCATTTCACATCAACCCATGTTATTGTCTATAAGGCACTTAGTGCTATCTAAATTATCTTGGTCACTTATGTGATTACTTGTATACAGTCTGTTTACCCTCCTGGTTCTGACACTCAAGAGAGCAAAAATGTCCTCTGTACCGTTTGCCCCTAAATCTCCTGCACCGATCGGCATGCTTTTCTTGGTTGAATAAATAAATGAAGAAATGAACTGATGAACTGCCCTTGCTTTTATTTTGTTCATGCCCACCAAGCCAGCTGTCAGGACTGTGAGTACTTTTTCTGATTTCTGTACTAGCTGTGGTTCACTTTGAAACTATTTTTGTGTTTTCTTTTGAAATATGAGCGAAAGAGCTTGATAATTACTGTCGATGTTTATTTATTATTATTATCATTTACCGTCAATGATGTGCCAGCCATCGATGAGAACTTTACCATCCACTTAATCTCTACAAAAATAGAATCTCCGAGATGAGTGCTGTTCCTGCTCCATGTTACAGATCAGGAAACCGAGGCTTAGAGAGCTTAAGCGACTATGTAAGTTCTCACCATAGGAAATGGCAGAGGCAAAATTTGAATCGGGGTCAGCCTGACGTCCGTTTCTCCCTGGGCACATGGTTGACACCAGGCCCTCTCCCCTCCCTACCCAGAGGGTTTGGGTCATCTTCTCTTGGTCTTTGGTAATAATGATTCCACCTCGCCCCACCCGTTGCAGAGGCCTGCCCACGCTGCAGTGCCATCATTCATGATTCAGAGTGGGCAATCTTTTAATTTAATTTAATTTAATTTAATTTAATTATTTAATTTAATTTAAATTTTTTTTATGGGAGCAAATATTTTTTATTTTTTATTTTTTACAAATACGCCGAAGAATCATGCAATGCTGCCAGCATTGGATGCAATCCTGGGCCACAAATCTGCACACTCCTTTGCAACTGGTCCTGTGATGGCAGAACCTTTCATTTCGCCTTTATTCTTTACTATGACCCCTGCATGATCTTCAAAATAAATAAATCTTTTCTCTGGCCTGACTTTCGTTGTCGAATTTCCCCCGCTGGATGTACCTTCTTTCTGAGCTCTGGTTTGCCTTTCTTGGCTGTGGCCATCACCATGTCACCCACACCAGCAGCAAGAAGTCTGTTCCGTCATCCAAATCTTTTCATTTTTAACCGTGGCCAGATAGTCCTTTTTTAACTCTCTTATTTTTGAAAGAGATGAACTTTAGGGAAGAAGGAGTAAAGACACCACCTGTTTTTCTTTTGTTTGTTTGTTTTGTTTTGTTTTTTAGAACCCCAGTTCTTAATATATCAAAGGTCAGAGATGAGTGTACAAGTCAATAATAATAACGTTCTTCATTAAATGGAGGTTTGGAGGAACAGCCAGATCCCCTGATGAATAAGGAGCCCTGCCATGGCAGCCCGGAACTATTTACAGAGGGCTTTCTCTCCATTCTCTCATTC